GGGGGGGGTAACCAGTGCTCTGGACGGTGGGGTAACCATCGCTCTAGACATCGAGGTAACCAGCGTTCTGGACGGGAAGGTAACCAGCACCCTGGACTGGGGGGGTTAGGGGGGTAACCAGTGCTCTGGATGGGGGGGTTGGGGGCGGTAATCAGTGCTCTGGACGGGGTGGGGGTGTTGGGAGGGGTAACCAGTGCTCTGGACGGTGGGGTAACCAGCGCTCTGGATGGGGGGGGCAACCAGTGCTCTGGACCGGGAGGTAACCAGCGCTCTGGACATCTGGGTAACCAGCGCTCTGGATAGGGAAGGGCGCTTAGCTCCTGTGGGTCCTCAGTTTGGGGCCCTAATCACCAGATGACAACAGGAAGTGCCCCTTCACACCTGAGGCCCCTTCCGTCCTATCATGGGTGTGGGTCTAGGCAGCGGCAGCTCCTCGACCTAAAGCCTTTCTCTGCACTTGGTCTCACTGGCTCCTTGCCTGTCCACCTCACTAGTGCAGAAGCCCCTCGGTGTGGGGCCCCCATCAACCCTGTTCGCTGTTGGAGCCCCAGTGGCTGCCACAAAAGAGAGACTTAATATTTATTGACAGAATGAATGACTGGTCAGAAAAATGCCTATAATATTTGGCGTTAATTTGGAGGTTGTTGGTGCCCTTGGGAGGGCAGCTTCAGTGGTGTGATGGGAGCTCACCGAGGAGTGGGGGCAGACCACTGGGGACTGTTATGCAGACAACACTTCAGACACCGAGTGCCTTAAAATACGGTGTATTAACCCTATTATTAATAGGGTATTTGAGGCACAGGAAGGCCCGCACATCAGAAGACAGTTGTCACTGAAAAGACAGTTTGTTACAGTCCCCGAGAGGAAGCGGCATACCACGCCACACCACGGGGCCACTTGGGGAAGCACTGGAGTCAGCCAGGAGGCGGGCGACCGGAAGGCTGTGGGTGGGGCCTTCACTGTGGTTACCCTGCGAAGAAACGGGGAGGTAGGGTGAGCGGGCCAGGATTGTCTCATTTCAATGGTGGTAGTGGCCTCCGGGCGCTGGTAGCCTAGGTGTCTAGTGCCAGGCCCTGGGGGATTAGGGCAGGAGTCTAGGACCTGTGGAGGAGGTCGTAGGGTGTGGGCTCTGGGTTTGGTGGGCTTGTATTTAACAAATACTGGCTCTAGGAATTGGCTAATCTGGAAGGGGCAGTCCCTCCAGGGTCAGCAAGTCCTCAGATTCCAAAGTATCAGAAGACAGAAAATAAAGACAGAGTTCATATAACACACAGCAACAGGGGCAGAGAAACGGG